GAAGGCACTAAAGGACATGATGTGGAGTTTGCTAATGTAATAATTGAATGAGGACTTTACTCCACAAGAAATCGTTCGGGTCGGAGCTTTCGAATTGTATTACAAAGCTTCGTCAGCGTATCGTAATTGGGTTCGGGGGTTTCGGTCGCAAAAATGAGGTAGGTCTTTATTACTATTTACTAGATGCCGGCAGCGCTCGTGCGTTGCCTTGGGCCAGAATTGGAGGATCCATAGCCAAATGAAATGTGCATTATTTTGGAGGCCTTGCCTGGGACTACCATTGAACCGATTTTGAGGTTGATAGCTTAAAATTTCTTTGAGCCAGAGGACCTCACGTCAAAACGGTTTTCCGACCCCAGCACGTGCAGCCTGCACCCCTCGCAGACGGTGACCCCCCTGGAAACTGGTTCAAGGTGTTACCGATGTGTCCCGCCAGTATGGCTTTGCCCGTGACCTCGGATTGACCTGTAGCCTTGACAAAAAAATTCGTGTCACCGAAACTTTGAAGCGGAATAGCATGTGCCACGAAGCACCGAGCGAACCGAGGCCAGCACCAAAAGTTTACCAAAAAAATCGAAAAAACGAAAGAGCAGTTTTGTAGCCCTTTTGATTTTTATGTCGGAACATTTTTCTGTATCTCTAAAGCTGTAGGCCTGACAGCTCTTCCCGCGAAACCTTTTTTTGGGTCGAAAATGGCAAAAATGACGTCACTCTGACGTCATTAGCGGCCAACCTATCATAGCCTATGAGAAATTTTTTGGTCACCATGTGCGCTAGCTACTCCCGGGAGGGTACTGAAAGTTTGGTGACGATCGGCGCGGCGGTTCTCGAGATATATCGAAAAAACTAAAGGGGAGGGCAAAAAAATGCCCCCCCCCACCGCCTGGAAGGTTAAAAAAAACGCGTCGCAATAGCCAAGTTTATCATTAACACTGACATGATGACAACGTTGCAAACAAGTGATTTGAGGCTGAGTCATTCAAAGTAAACCGCTGACCTAAACTTTAAAGATAGCCGTGGTCATAACTCACACACAATGTGTAACAATGGTGAGAAAATAGTTATGCCGAATTTTGCGGCGTAAAGCGTCGCAGTTTCTCCACTATTTACAAAAAAAAAAAAAACAGAAGAGGATGGATATCCACCGCCGTTGGTGGATAGACGATAGTCTAACTCCTCGTATAAAGGAGAGCTCTACACATGAACTCACTTAACCCTCGCCCGCACATGCCATTTTCCCATCCTAGAACGCACATGGGGGGGGGGGGGTTGCCACCCCCCCCGCGCCATTTCGTTCCTGTTGGAGATAGAGCTTAGCGGTAAAGACCAAAAAGATTCTTTGGGAAGAGACGAATCCAATGATACCCAGTTTTACCTTCTCAGGTCAGTCATTGACCTTCCAGGTCAGGTCAAACTAAAAAATGTTGCTGTTTTGGGTCACCGTTGGATATCAAGTGTGCTGCTTATCAAATACCGATGACGATGCTGTTTTCTGGTGCCAAGCCAGCTAGAACCTCTTTGTCACACTACGTTATGCGCCAAACTCCATATAGAAGCGGACATTGGGGTTCAGATTGTTATTATGAGTAAAATATAAGTCATTTTCTTCATTAAACGGTTGTTTCTCTATGCGGCGATCATTTATGAAGCACGCCACACTTAGTTACCAACGAGCGATATCATAATAGCTCCATTTTTGGCAGTATACTGGCTGCGGCCGAGTGCGACGGTGGCGCCGACTATCGGCTACTCGTGCAACTAGGCCTCGCGGTGGCTCCGGCGGCCAAACTTCAGATGAAAACGTCCCTGTGTGGAGACTTAACGATAAACTGAAAAATGCGATATGATGCAATTAAATTCAGTAATATGCGTTTACCCTGACGTATTTTTTACCAATATTCGGGGAGAATTGGCACCGGGATTTGGCAGGAGAAGATAAAATGTTTATGAACATTCCAAATTGTATTATACCTACATTGCATTGTCAAAATATGTCTCAATATATGCGAGACGTCATGCTGTTTGCCGTAGTATAGCGAAATTGTTTCATGAAAGACTCAATACAAATATAACGGGAGTGATGTATCTTAATTTCATTTGGTGGTGCAAATATTTTTTTCTTCCATGTCCCGATCCCGGGTCGAATTTTTCTCTCCTATGGATAAAAAGTGCAGAGATGTGTTGCTCAGTTAGTGAGCTACAGCGTAGTATAGCGACATTTTTATGTAAGCTGCCTATTTTTTCATACTGTGCTAGTTTCCACGAAAATCCGTGCATACACTGACCAATATTTTTTTCTTCCATGGCCAGATCCCAGGTCCAATTTTTATCCGCTATGGATAAAAAATGCATAAATATGTTGCTCAGATGGTAATCTACAGCGTAGTATAGCGACATTTTTATGTAACTACCCTATTTTTTCATACTGTGCTCATTTCCACGAAAATCCGTGCTTACGCTGACCAACATTTTTCTCTTCCATGGCCAGATCCCAGGTCCAATTTTTATCCGTCATGGATAACAAATACATAGATATGTTGCTCAGATAGCGAACTACAACGTAGTATAGCGACATTTTTATGTAACTTCCCTATTTTCTCACACTGTGCTCATTTCCACGAAAATCCGTGCTTACGCTAACCAACATTTTTTTCTTCCATGGCCAGATCCCGGGTCCAATTTTTATCCGCCATGGATAAAAATACATAAATATGTCGCTCAGATGGTGAACTATACCGTAGTATAGCGACATTTTCATGTAACTTTCCTATTTTTTTCACACTGCGCTATCACCCATCAAAATCCGTGCTCTCACCGACCTTAGTTCTCTGGCGTTGCCGATAGGCGGCGCTGGCGTCGCGTCCCGCGCTATGGCCGCGCCTGGCGCATAACGACCCGACCAGAATTTTGCTGCTGAGGTCATTTCAGGTCAAGTTAGGTCAAGGTCAATTATATTTGTATGTATGTCTGTGTGTGTCTGTGTGTATACTGATGTGTGCACCGATTGTTTTTGGGTCCATATTACATGAAATCATGATCTGAAACTTCAAAAAAGTAAATTCAGCTTGCCTAAAACGCAATTATCTTAGATGACCTAGGTTGACCTTGACCCTGACCTTGACCCCTGTACATCGTCGAACAACATGTTCCATGATAGGTGGGAGGTAAGACTGGCAAAAAAAGGCCGAAATCAGGGTGTCAAAAGCTCATAAGGCCCATGGCAAACGCAATATGTTGAGAATTGGCCATTTGGGTCATGACATGACCTGACAAACAAGGTCATATCTCCGAAACCAAAAATCACAGAAACTTGAAATTTTCAGGGGACATCAAGAAAGGATAGAGAAGCAGCTATACGAAAAATCAGCCTTCTATTTCTAAAAATGTTGAGTGCAGAGCAGAAAGACTACCTGGGGGGGGGGGTGGCAACCACACCCCCCCCCCATGTGCGGGCGAGGGTTAAATGTTTGGTTGAAAAGCCGAGGGCCTGGTGGGCCAGTGACCTCATGAGATATCCCAGGAGTCATTTCATGGTCAAATAAATCAAGGCCAGCTGTGGTTTGACATTTGTTAATCCTTGCACATCGCTGATCTAGGAGGGTCCTAGGAGGGTTTATTTTTACGCTGATAGGAAAACTAGAGCTCACTGACCAGTGAAGCTAACAGTTGGTTTTAGACAGCATGTATGTCATAAATGCTCTGATATGATATGACAGGTCAATGCAAGCTGCAATATGTCGAAAACGCCACCCCTTGCGACTGCCGGGGCTAAAGAAGACATGAGCTCAGTACAGTATGATGTCCAGTACACAATACAGACATGGTTACAGCTATGAAGTGCCAACGAGCGACATCAAACACACATTGAGTGCCGAAGGCATATATTTACCTTGCACTTTAAAGGAACTTCACCAATGAGGTTCCAATAACTATATGTAAAAATGATTATAAGCAAATGCATAGCTTCAGCTACTGCCGTACAATATTCAATAGCCGTTTTCACGACGGGCTACCCGGCGAATGCACCTAATTTGACCAAATCTGCACCTAATCTCTTTTACAGCAAATATCTTCATTTTATGAATTTATTTCAGTGTTTTAATCGATGATGCTCTCTGATAATATGACAAAGTAGGCTTGTAAGCAATAAGTGCAACCCTAGCTGATAGCTACTAAGAGACACACTGAACCTAATTTGACCAAATCTGCACCTAATCTGCACCAGATGTGCACCAAATGTGTACCATATGGCCGTCGTGAAAACGGCTATTATGCGTTATGCAGCCACGGCGACTTTTGTATCCCTCGCTGATCTTTTCGAATATCAAGCCTTAGTCTCACACGACATACTCCGGTGACGACATACGCTACATTTCATTCAACTCAATGCGCGGAATAGTATTATACACAATGACAAGTCTATACCTAGCATTTTCCTTTCGCTCATTTATTGTGTCACATAAAATCGCATTGCCATTTGTACTGAACTGATATCTTGCATTTGTACACCAATTTCTGCACCGATATGTTAAATTTACAGAGATCACATGGGTATCCAGTTCCACCACTCAGAAACATGCCGTGCTGGTGCATACCATTCGGCATATGCTCAGACTCCCAGGTCCTGTTTTGTGTCCTCACAATATGCTGACGATGGTTACCGGGAACGGGGCCTTAACAGGGGGCGCCGGTCATGTAGTGTTTGAGGCTCCCTCCCCAGCCGTTTGAGCATTTACTCTCAATGAATCAATACAAACTGTATCAGTTGCTGCGACAATGTCAAACGTATTTAATGCATTGGATAGGTTGTGAGTTCGTGAATAAATGCAGCGTATGTATGTAAACATTGAACATCGAATGTCGCATTCAATGTTCTTGTGCGCCGTTGAATCGTCTCCGCTGGCATGCGTTAAAAATGACCTTTTTCTTAGTCAAAACCTACCACCAGAACCAGACCTTACACCCATCACTCCGGTGAGCATCACAATAAAAGACTATACTTATTGTCTGATTATGTTTATTATGAGAATGTACAATGAAATGACGCAAGAGCGGCTCAATAAGACACACATGGCAATGCACAACGAAACATATCAACAGACCAATCAAAACACAGCGAACAACTGACCATTTCAATACAAACCATCCTACAACAAGGTGTGTGATCGGAAAATGCCACAAAATGGCCGCAATATCGGATCAGATTAAAACCTGCCACCTTCCGCGACGCCGGGGAATTAGGGTAAGCAACAATGCACTAACGGGCGTGAGTCGATGATGCAAGTCGGTTGTTATGACATGGTCCCGCGATAAAATTTGAGCTTTTATCGGCTGATCACGGCCTAACATGCAATGTCCAACACCTCTGCAGAAGCTCACCTTCGTAAGGAAGTGGAAACACTCCCTAGGAATTCGTCTGCGTCTGCCGCAGGTAACCGTGGCTGGACATAAGTTCAACAACAAGACATGGCGATTTGTACTTGGCATCACAAGACTCCTACAATGCACGCGTCTCTGACTCATGACTACATGGACACCTTATAAAAAACACACCAAAACAACATAGCAGCACGTCCGAAGTAGCACCCATCACATGTCTCGTGCGGTCTGCCTCCTACAGCAGGACTAGTTCCGCCGCACCAAGCAAACATCAGACCTCAGCACCATCATTCCCAGGAGCAGCCTCCATCCTCGAGGCAGTCTCGTCAAAGGCGAACTGCCTGTTGTGCACAGCCCAGGCCGACTGGCACGGTGCGCAGGCGGTCCGCCTCGCGCACCAATGAGTATCCTCCAAATGCCCTGCGGCGCACGGGGGCAGCATGGCGAGCCGTCCCCGCACGCCGTCTGTTCCTCTACTGGATGTTGTCCAGAAGACCCAGAGCGTCCACCTCGAGCGCCAGGTCGACGGTGTGCTCCACCCATCCGGGCACGCGGTCCCAGAACTGGATGGCCGCCAGGCACCAGACGAGACCAACCAGCTTGGCGGCGGTGAAGTCGGAGCGCAGCTGGGCGGCCGAGTACCGCCGGTCGCAGCCGAGCTCCGCGAGCTTCGCGTTGAAGTGACGCCGGTACACGGCCAGTACGTCGCCCTCCACTTCGGCCATCACCCTCCGCGGGATCGAGAACAGCATCAGGTAGAGCAGGTCCAGCGCCGGGCTGCCCAGACGGGACGCCTGCCAGTCCACGGCCCGCACCTGCCAGTCGCCGTCCGGAGTCTCGCGCAGCAGCAGGTTTCCGTCGCGGAAGTCGCCGTGGCAGAGCACCCCGAAGTCGGGTGTCCGCTGCAGGAAGGCGTTCAGCAGGCGCACACTGGCCTGCTGCATGTCGGCCAGCTTCTGCAGCAGCAGGTTCTGGCCCAGCCGCTCCAGCCGGTCGGCCACCTTGGTGATGCCGATGCGGATGAAGTCGGAGACCTGAGCGCCGTCGGAGAGGTGGTTCTCAAGCAGGTACGGCAGCTCCACCGTGCCCTGGAAGAAGAGGAACGCGACCGTCAGCAACTGGTTCCGCTGAACTACGGTACTCCAGACCTTAAAAGTAATCACAAGCGCTTGAGCTGCTAAGCAATCACAACCATCCTCACATCACGCATATCTTTCTTTACTCAAGGTTAAGTGTGAAGCGAAATTCACACATCAGCATCTTGTTACCTATTGTGATCTTTACTTTATTTCATTTTCAACGAGTAAAACAAAGCATCCGGCCGCCTCAGCGACGAGTTCCTTCGATCAGCAACCATTAGCGTCTGGGCGACTCAGCAAACATGTGAAGCAGGAGCGCCACTAACAATGCCGCCTCTGTCGCGACAGGGCGGCGCCGGCTCGGCTGAGCGCTGCTGTATGCGAGCCGGTACCTTTGGGCAGACAATGACGGCCAGTGTTCTGCCCCCTACGGCTGCCCCGGGACGGCGCTAGAACTCACCGTCTCCTGGAGCCAGCAGTGCGATGTGGCCGCGAACCGCGCCAGACTGCGGACGGCGGCGTTCAGCTGAGGCTTCTCCAGCTGCAGTGACTCGGTCGTCTGCACAGAAAGACAACACCAGCGTTAGCGCTACTGCCAAGTTACAGTCGCCGGAAACATGCCTCGAAACGCCAGGCGCGATCGCAACTCCGCCGTGGCTGTCAACAATCTCGACCGCTAAGATAATGGCAAGCCCTTTCCACCGCTTGGCAATGCATAGCAAGAAGATGCACTCCTACTTCAATGTTTTCAAATCAGTTCAAACATAGAGTGAACAAACAATACATATGAGAAATTATTTGAAAACGTACCCAGTATCCCTTTTTCTGGACGTTTTCCAGCACAATGGCGCAGTCTGGCTCATCCAGCACCTCGGCATACAGGCAGGAGACAGTCATGTCCTGGATGTCACTGCTGCCGTGAAGCCGCTCAAAGGCCACCAGCTGGGGCAGCAGCTCCTTATAGATCTGTAACAAACGGAGAACACTGTCAGCACTCGGCGACACACGATTAAACACAGCAAAGGGCCACTGACCCTTCAGCCGTGTGTATATTAACCACAAGCGCGTGACCTATGTGATTACAGATGACGGCTGCACTTTGAAACTCGGTAGTTTTAATCCAGGGCCGTGGTTCTCATAGTTTCCGTCTCGGCGAATAAACATTACGGCAGACCTGTTTCGTCTGATATTTGCAGCGGGCGGTTAACCGTGCCCAGGAATGTAGTTATGTCATTTCAGTGACGGCCAAGTTTGTAACTCAGTAAACAGAAACTCGCCTTAAATTTCAATTTGCCCTTGAATAATTTCACAAGTTATATAACATAAGCAGGGTCAATAACACCCAGACGCAGTCATTGACCTTGCCCCATTCATTAGCGTGGTCGGTTATGTGTACGCGGTGTAACATTACGCTGGCGATGTTATAACACCCTGGGGGCATTGCCCTGTGCGCCGGACGACGGCGTGAGGCAACCCCACGTGTTTGACGGGGTCACGCGGGCTCGGCAGGGTCATGGCGCGACGCCGTCACCCTCGGAGGAAGCTCGGCCTTCGGAGTACCTGGCCAGACGCGCGCCCCTCAATTCGGGGAACTGCGCGGGAGTCGGGTGGCCATGGCCAGACACTGGACAAAAACGCACGGCGGGGCGCCAAACGGCTCACCGCGTACCGCCACGCACGTCGTGCGTTTTTTGACCCGGCGGCCTTTCTTGAGGATGACCCTGAGATGGAGGCCACCTTCCACGAACAGGGTGACACGAGAAGACGGCTCGCTGCATTTCGAGGAATGGACGAGGGAATTTCGGAGAAGGGATAGTGCGGGATGGAAGCGAAGGTGAGAACAGAATGTGCTTCGAAGAACGATTCTTAAAGACCATCTATGACGTGACCTCAGCAAGCGACCTTCAACCCCAGAAGACCACCGCAAGTTCTGTGAACAGTGAAACAAAGTTGTCCACCTCACATAGCTCATAGTCGCACAGTTTGCCTTCACGCGCCTTCCAACTATCACGCGGGTCGCACCACCATCTCAGCGCGGCTGACCGGTCGAACTGTGGTCAGACTGGCCGCCGAGGTGGTAAACACAGCACTACGGTCCGCCGCACAGCGCGAGTCGACTGCGGCCGGCGACCTTGACCCGTAAACGAGCCGCCAGTGGTCGGCAGCACGCGCCACCGCCCGGTCGGCCGGAATCAGCGGCGCCCGAGCGTCGAGCAAGAGCGTGCGCCCGAGCACCCGCACTTGCTTGACAGGAGAATGACAGCTAGTCACAGCGATTATCCTTGATGAAATCCGTTAGAATTTCGCTGCAAGACTCCTTCAAAAGGCCTGGTCTGTCGGCAGACATCCAAAGACGGGATCATGACTCAGAACGGCCGGCCTGTCAGGTGTGAGACGGATGGGCGGATCAGGGCGCCAGCCGTCGCTCGCTGACCGGACGGTCGGGTCAGGCGGAGCGCCTCGCCAAGATTGCGGTCGCCCGACCGCCCCGACGTGGCCCCTCGACGCCTCAAGGCCGCGCCGGGCTGAGGGGTAGCCGGAGAGTCTGCTTACTGTCCGGCCGACACCTGCGCCGCGGGCGCCGGGGACAGCTGCGTGCCCGACGATCGTCGGAGAGTCGCCGACGGCCGATGCCACCAAGGCCGGCTGGAGGTACGCACTTTTTCACGCCGAGGTCGGGTGTGGCGCGAGTTTTTTACGCGGCGAGAGGTGACTGAACTGCGCCAGTCAACGGCCCGCCGAAGAGCCGTTGGCGGCTGATTTGGGGGCTCCGCGTTCCTGTCAGACAGGCATGTCCGGACCGATCAGACGGCCACCTTCAGGCTACAAGTGACTTCAGCTCATTAGCCCGCCTGCCATTCGGACGGACGGAAGGACCGTGGCTTTACTATGGGCGGTCGTGGGAGTGGGTTGACTGGGCCCCTAGTACCGCCGACCGTGGGCTCTGTGGGGAGGACGGGGACGGCGGCCCCCGCATCCTGGCGCCAGTATTGCAAATCCAGCCGCAGATGCAGACGGATGTTGCAACACGGTCTGAAGATCACCGACAGTCCGTTCCTATTGCGATTGATCTCCCACCTGCACCACATAATGCTATCGGCATTCACAAGGACTTCAAACTACCGAGATAAAGGGGGCTACAACATTCCTCCTGAATGTAGTAGTCTCTTTGATTGCGCGGAAGGACACAACGAATCATTTGGCCTCACGATAAATACTCAAAAGCCCTATCAAGCAATCACTAGAGTTGATTGGTATGCAGAGGCCCCGGCATAGCGAATATTCGACGGTGGTCGGACGCAAAAGCAAGGTCCATGAGCAGTGTCTGCCTGGGACCCGCCTTGGCCGGCGGCGAACGACCTTCGTTGCCGCCGAGGAAGCGCCGAATATGGTCAGATTACTGGCTGCAATGTTGCCCATTCATTCAGCACGGCCTTCTTTGACAGGCCCATGGCAAAGTGATGGGCGTTAGAAGGCGGCCCTGGCACCTGATACCAATCAGACTGAGTTATTGGCCCACTGAGCTGTGCAGAAGACCTTCAGACGGCTCATGCGGGCGGGTAGAGGTAGCGGGCGTTCGTGACATGTGTATCGAGAAGTATTGTTAGTGATGCTGCAAGCATCATTCGAATAAGAAGCAAAATATAGCAGGAGACTTAGAACTTTAGCACTGGAAAGAGCATAGTACGCCCAGAAATAGTACCTATATTTCTACGTTAAATTCAAGTTTTTCTTTTGCTGTACTTCCCAAATTCAAACTAAAGGTCACACCTAATGGCGCGTGAGTCATCCCGTATCCCACGTGAGCAAACCGGACATTCCCTTCATTCCCCGTTTTTGTGTGGCCTTATGAAGGTCCCCGACCTCCCCGTCTAGACGGATCCAGAGACCCTCGCCGGCCAGGTGGTGTCAGCGCGCCGGTTTTCGGCAGGGGCACTGCCCGCTTCCGGAGGCGCGTGACTACGAGTCCAGACACGTCTTCCCCCTAGCGTCGTCCCCGACGAAGCAGGTGGCGGGCCCGCCCAGAGTGGCGCGGTATGACGTCATCGGCGCGCCGAAAATTGGCGCGCGATTCGCCGGCGCCACGTGACCGTTGGGCGGGGGCGCTGCCCGTGGGACAGACGGGTGACGTCACACTGTCTAGGGGGACAGGGGCCGAGGGTGAACGTCTGCCTCCAAGGCCGACAGGTGCACTGGCCACAGGCCGAAAGTCCAGCCGGGCACCGCTGCACGGGGACGACGAACCCAGCGCGCTAGTGACGTCAGGAGCACTGGCGCAGCTTCCCGCACCGGGAGCGCGCGGGAGTTCGACGGCCCGGCCCGACGTGCGTCACCGGGCCAGATACGAACGGCGCACTGCCCCAAGCTCGGTTCGACGAACGCTCCCCATGGGTGGCCAGAGCTCAGGTTACTACGCCTGGAGCCAAGCATGGGAAGTACAACGAGAGGCAAAGAAGACGTATGTATGAGTGGCTCTGCGCGGCTCGAAGAGCCGTGACTCGGCTGGCGGAGGATGGTATCGTGTTGTGTACATTGAAAGCCAAGAGGTCATACTGTTGGCGTCAGAAAAAGCCCTGGCGCCGGCTGTTTGTTGCCTCTCGGGGGAGACGGATTGAGGTCGCGGACGTCGTGACAGAGGTCGCCGCTGTCAAGAGACGAATGCAATTGCAGGGCCCCGGACCTGACAGGGACGGTAGTCCTAGTACTGTGGGACGGAGAGCTGCGGGGAACTTTACCGTGGCTGACGTCCTCAAAAACGGCGGGCGAGGGGACAATTGCAGCTATGAACGGTGTACGCAGATACATCGAAGTAAGCGACAGCTTAGTCGTCTTGCCCTCGGAGTCTCATGTCTGGCTCCCAGATGGGTGTGGCCATTTACGGTGATCCAAACCCAAACATTGGCTCACTGGCATTCATAAAAACTGCGTCGCATTATCAGGAAGAGTGACGACTCGAACTGCGCCATGCGTACTAAGCCGTCTTTACGACAGACAGGCCCTGGACAAAAACGGAGCCGGCAGAGTGTAAAACAGCGCCGGCAGGCCGGGTCACGTTTTCAGCCACGTTTCTCTGCGCTCGGTGACCGACGACCCGCTGTGAGTGAGTGACCGGTCGCGGCGCCCCGCCAGCCGAGTAAACAGAGGCGCGGAGCTCTGCGAGTACAGCACTCCCACCAACCGGCCGCCTGCCGGGAGTTACGTCACCACAACGTCCTTCAGACAGGCAGACAGGCAGGCAGACGGGCGAACGGACGGACGGCGCTCAACCGGCTCCGAAACTCGCCAATTACGGGACTCGGGGTACTCTCCCGGCGGACCGATTCACATTCTGAACGGTCCGGCGGCGGGACGAGCTGGAACCCCACACCTGGGCCCCTGCGGGTGGGGCGCCGGATGGACCGGGTTTAGGAGGCCCACGGTGGTGCGAGGGGCGCAGACGTCCCTGAGACGGCGCGCGGCACCGCCCCGATGAGCGCGAACCCCGTCGGACCTTGGAATAGGTCAGGCGGTCTGAATAGGACTACTCGAGAAACGCTCCGCTCCGACTAAATGGCCGCTGAAGGTCACAATTTGTAACGGAGTTCTCGTAGCTCGTAGCGCCCGTAATCGTAGTCCAGTAGTATGAGCCCACTTTACGATGAGTATCTCTGCAAATTACCTTTCCCAGCGCACACAGCCCGAAGGCTCAGGACACCAACTGGTTGAAGTCACAGGAAAACGTCCCAGTCTGAGCTCGATTCAAGCCGTCCGTCCGGGAGTAAACGAAACCGGCTGCACGGACTGAGACCGTGTTGACCAACTGGTATTGGGCCAAGGTCTCTGCCGGCGGCGGCGGCTGCTGACCACGGCGGTCGCATGGTACGGCCCGCGGCCGGAGACACCCATCACGTGACCACGGTAACCGCCGGAGACAGCAGTCACGTGACGCGTTGCTGGCGACTGACAATGGTGAGCGGTCTACAGCGGCCGGGAGCTACGGTAAGCGGTTGGCAGTGGAGAAGCCAATGGCGGCGAGCGCTACACACGTGGCGTATGACGAAGCGCGAGCATTCTTCGCGCGAGCGCGACATTCTTGACGAGACACACATGAGGCATGCTCAGAGTGCATTTAGCGACGATGGCTATTCAACAGTGGGGGAAAATGAAGCCTTCATTGTCAGACGAGACCAGACAGGTCGGACCAGCGAGTCGCCCGGTGACCATTGCAGTTTGATCGCCGATCAAAGGCAGATGACAATCGCCACCTTACGCGACCACCGGGCTGACGACTAAGCTCTGACCCCATCAGATACGCAGAACAGGCCCATAACTAGCCGACCGGGCCACTTACCGAGGTGCTTTGCTTATCACCGGCGAGCGTGCGCCGCCGGCGGCCGCTCTGTTGAATGGGCGAGGCGCCGGCCGCCCGTGGGCGCGGTCCATGGCTTTACTGCGCACGTGCGCTTACGAGGAACTGTTTACAAACAAACCAGAGTACGCTCCTGGCTGGCGGCGGCCGAACTAGCACGTACTGCGGTCAGAGAAAGCACATGTTGATGTGGCTCACAGAGGTGTGCGTGAACCGGTGGAGTGCGTGGGCCAGGACGCGTGCCCCAGTGGGGGCGCGGTCACTCCCCCAGCTGTTACTCTGTCGTGGCTGAGATGCACCCCAGGTGGCCACTGTTGCCACGCTGTTAACTGCCTCAAAACGACGCAACACACGCGAACTGCAATTTCTACGGCATTGCCGAGAGAAAAAGACACGAGGGCCCGGTAACGGCGCGGTTTACATGAATCACCGCAGTAAAAGTGAAAACTCGCCCGGTTTACGAGCGAGTACGGCCGTGCCGCTCGTGGTAACGGTGGAGCCCGGTCAATCATGGGAACTGACCAGCTGGTGGGGTTGCATTGCAACAGCCCGTGTTGAGCGGTGAAGTGGGGGCGAGGGAGGGCGCGTGCCACGGCAGCGGCGAGAGCCACGAATGCCCCCGGGCAATGAGGTGCAAATTGTCTGCAATGGGCCCACCATGATGGCAGTGGCTGCAATGGGTCGTCTGCGACTCATGCAGCTCTGCAAAACGAGCGCCGCTTTATTGATGGCGAGGGCGAGACATGGAATGCGCATGACTAGTGGTAGGTATTGGGAAAGCTCCAGTAACGACATGCTAACCGCCCCATCATCACCTAATCAGCGTGCCCGCGGTGAAGAAGTCTCCTGACAACGCCACTGGGGCAGGGAGACGTTGCATCTCTGGTGAGAACCTCACTTCCCGATTTTGCCTCAGGACGAATCAGCAAAATAAAGCGGACGCGAAGGGCCTCAGCTTGAAACTAGGTGAAGTGAGACCGGAATACTAATTACTGGTTGGTATTGGGCAGCAAGGCTCCTCACTGGGGCAAGGGGTAGGTTTCGGAGAGGAAACACCAGCTACTGCATTACTATTTTGTCCTAGTTTAATCTAAGGGCAGGAAGACATTGAACGTCAACCATGTTGAGAAATATCAGCGCTATCAAGTATCAACAACGGTTCAACGTTAGCGCTCAGACGCTAATGTGACATGTGAGCCTGCCCTCAGACTTCAGCATTGCTCAAGCATTTATTTTCACAGGCATCGTCTGCCACGCCGGCCGCGATGTAGAAGCGCCGTCGTGTTTAAAAATGTTGCGAAAGAATGAAACTGCTACAGCGCTAAATTTGTCGTTAGATAACACTTCTACGAAAACAAAGACGAAAGAATAACAAACAGCTAATTCATCAGTCTCAGCAGAACGTGCTAAAGGCATTGACCGCGGTTGGGTTGTTGTTCGTATTTTTAATTCGATTAGGTTTTTAAAATTTCGCTCTTGGAATTTGGTTGGATTGGAGGAAAACAACAAGAAACCTCAAAATCCCTCTTAACCTGACGATTTGTTGTGAGATGTCTATTAAAATGACATCCAAGTGCAATAAATAAGTGCAAAAAATTGATTTTTTTTGGAAAAGGTGACAACGAATGGAATGAATAAACATTTTTTTATTTTTGATTGGTAATGTTTACATCGTGAGCAGGGTCTCACATTGAGCATACACTTCATGAAACTCTTTGAGACCCCACCAGGTTACTTCAAACCACCACCGTAACCCTAGCCCCCATCCCCCCCCCCCAACTTGACCCTTTTACTCACCATGGTCTCGCAGTGCGACATCCGATGATCGATGACCACGCGACGCATCAGCTCGTTCTCCGGCAGCAACTTCACGATGACGTGGTCGATGACCTCCTGACCCAGGACGTGGCCCCGCGCCGTGAAGCAGCGCATGTCGGAGCAGGCGGCGATCTGGTTGCCCTTGAGGCCGTAGCTGTCGTGGGCACAGATGTTGTAGCGGTCGCCGTGCCGCCGGCGCAGGATCGACTCCAGCCAGCCGGAGGTGAGGTCGTCCACGGAGGTGGGTATGAGGGTGGCGGCCGCTGGTCGCGCCAGGTCGACAGGCAACGCCTGCACCGTCTGGCTCGCTCCGGACATGGTGACGGCGGGGTGGGGCGGTGGCGGAGCACGTGGTCTGTGCTGGACGCTGAGGGCGGCGTGTACTCTCCCTACAACGTCGCCAGCTCTACTGGCCGCCACGGCCGCGCGCCGGGCTTATCAAGGCTGAGCGGCGGCGCGCGCGGCACCTTCGAACCGCGCGCCGCCGCAGCGCGCGCGCGCGCCGGGGGCGGAGCCTGCTAGAGCTGTCCCCGTTTTGCGGCCAACCGGCGCGCGGCGGCCGCGGAGGGCGGAGCCACCGCCGCGCGCACGCATGGCATCGGGAGACATCAATCGCCAAAAGTGAAAGCGTCCGACGTCGGCGCGGCGCGGCGGCGAGCAGCTGCGGCGGTCAGCCGGTCAGCGACCTGAGACCCCGGAGAAAACTCCCCCCGCTCCCCGCCGCCCCGCTCCCCGCTCCTCGCCGTACCGCCATCCTGTCTGGGACTGCCCGTTGGCCAAGGTCCGCCCCGCCCCCTCCCGCCCCCTCCCGCCCCCGGTGCGACTGTCACCTGGCGCAGGACATTCAACCCACAGACATGGCCAGCGTGTTGCAATATCTGTCTGGACGGGGCATCACGGGGTAGGATGGCGATGGGACGGGGTAGGATGGCGATGGGACGGGGTAGGATGGTGAGATGGGACGGGGTAGGATGGCGATGGGACGGGGTAGGATGGTGAGATGGGACGGGGTAGGATGGCGAGATGGGACGGGGTAGGATGGCGATGGGACGGGGTAGGATGGTGAGATGGGACGGGGTAGGATGGCGATGGGACGGGGTAGGATGGTGAGATGGGACGGGGTAGGATGGCGAGATGGGACGGGGTAGGATGGCGATGGGACGGGGTAGGATGGTGAGATGGGACGGGGTAGGATGGCGATGGGACGGGGTAGGATGGTGAGATGGGACGGGGTAGGATGGCGAGATGGGACGGGGTAGGATGGCGATGGGACGGGGTAGGATGGTGAGATGGGACGGGGTAGGATGGCGATGGGACGGGGTAGGATGGTGAGATGGGACGGGGTAGGATGGCGATGGGACGGGGTAGGATGGTGAGGTGGGACGGGGTAGGATGGTGAGATGGGACGGGGTAGGATGGCGAGATGGGACGGGGTAGGATGGTGAGATGGGACGGGGTAGGATGGTGAGATGGGACGGGGTAGGATGGCGATGGGACGGGGTAGGATGGTGAGATGGGACGGGGTAGGATGGCGATGGGACGGGGTAGGATGGTGAGATGGGACGGGGTAGGATGGCGAGATGGGACGGGGTAGGATGGCGATGGGACGGGGTAGGATGGTGAGATGGGACGGGGTAGGATGGTGAGATGGGACGGGGTAGGATGGCGATGGGACGGGGTAGGATGGTGAGATGGGACGGGGTAGGATGGTGAGATGGGACGGGGTAGGATGGCGATGGGACGGGGTAGGATGGCGATGGGACGGGGTAGGATGGTGAGATGGGACGGTGTAGGATGGTGAGATGGGACGGGGTAGGATGGTGAGATGGGACGGCGACGGGGCGGGAAGGGATGGGAAGGGATGGGAACAGGAGGTGGTCTCCCCGTCATATTAGCCATAACTCGAGACTGAGAGAGGTGTGAGAAAGAGAGAGAGAGAGAGAGAGAGAGAGAGAGAGAGAGAGAGAGAGAGAGAGAGAGAGGAGAGAGAGAGAGAGAGAGAGAGAGAGAGAGAGAGAGAGAGAGAGAGAGAGAGAGAGAGAGAGAGAGAGAGAGAGAGAGAGAGAGAGAGAGAGAGAGAGAGCATATTGCGCTGTCTTTATTTCCTTCCATTGTCGAAGAAGGCTCGATTCCTCTCCTCGATTCATGAACGATTAGTAATTTTTTTAAATGCGCTTGCCCATGCGCTTCTGAACATGCCTGTTTTCTTCCTTATATACTTGTACGTGTTCGTATTTATCCTGCCCCTCCCTAAGCCCTGGACTGAGCATCTCAAATTTCGTCTTCTTTACCAAAATTAGTTACCTACCGGATTCAGTGATCTGAATACAAACATGCTTCTTTGACCTACGGGTAAGCGTCGAGCGGCTCCTACGACGACGAGGCTGATCAGCAGTGACCTGAGCTTCGGCCGTGACGCAAGAAGAACGCCGACAAGGCAATCCTCCTTTGCTGTGATGGTAAGTGCTATGCCTAGATAACGTGTGGTTATATGCACGATCCGGCATAGGTGACCGCTAAGTAATACGAGATGCTAAGTGATGCTCGTAACTTGAGCTCATAACAGGTGGTTCTGTTTATGAGGTAATTCTTGTCTACTTTATTCGTTAGGTACCTTTTGCTCTTTCCCAGGTGGATAGATCTTAACCCGCGCCCTGCTGGGGGTCCTGGATTTCCACGCCCTGCTGGGGGGGGGGGGTGTTTGAACACCCCCTTCTAACTCGGCTCCTGGGCCACGTAGCGATACGCGGAAGGCGGCGTTCGAAAGAGCGTAAAAAATAATGACGAAATCACTTCGGTCAATTTTTTGGTCAGGTCAAAGGTCAGGTCACCAGAGGTCATTGAAGGCAAAATTTCGCCGATTTCCAGGTCGAATGTCGAAAATTTCCAAGAAGCCAACGCATAACTCGGGATCCAATAGAGCTACAGCGCCGCGGAAAAGTGCATTCGATAGCCCTATTAACGCCCTTTCTGAGTAATTCTCTCAGATTTGACCTACCGTCAACGGTTTTGCCTGCAGGGGGCAAAAACTGCAAAAATAGCCGATTTTTTCGGAAACAGTTTTTCTGCAATAACTTTTGACCAAAGCCTTGTACGAGCTTACTTTCACCGGCATCGTGTTCCTCTCGTCAAGACGCATCAAATGAACTATAACTTGACTTTGAAAGGTCAACTTGAAAATTTGACCTCAGGTCAAGGTCATGACCTGACCGGAAAGGGTCATGTTGCATATCAGTCGATCCGTATCGTCGAGCTGAACACATATACGGCATTTTCATCGCTCTAGCATGCCTCTATCAAAAGTTATTTGCGAAAAACTGTTAGATACCATTCGTGACCTAAGATGACCTCAGGGCATAAACAGGGGTCACGGACACCATTTTCATGTTCAGTGTGTCTAAAACACTTGTAATTCGGTGTTTGGGAGTGTTTATAATGTCTTTCGTCCAAAAGAGACGCATTTCATTTTTCTCCCATTGACTTATAATGGGGAGGTCGCAAAATTGACCTGACCTTAGGTCATCGATATCAAAATTCTGAGATATACATTTTGCACATGCTATTGCTCTTAGCAATCGTTGAAAGTTTCAAAGCGATCGGTCACTCGGTGTAGCTATGACAGACATTGAAACTTTTTATGAGGTGAGGTCACTTCAAGTGACCTGGTGACCTGACCTTGAATGACCTTGGTCTGAAATTTTCATAACATGTGTAGAATTGATGTATGATAAGGTGTACCAAAAACGGCGGCGCTCCGCGCCGCCGTTTTTTAGATATTCGCGAAAAACCACAAGGGGGGTGTTCAAACACCCCCCCCCCCCAGCAGGGCGCGGGTTAAGGTGACTCGCTGCCGTTCCGAAACGAAGTCGCACAGGGTTTCGGAAAAGGTGGACAACCTTCGACGCCATATTTCACAACGACAAAATCTGTCTCTTTTCAGCAGTAAACTCTGATCCAGGGTCTCAAGACAATCTTCTTAGGTGTAAAGACACAATAAGATCGCTAGGCCCAGTCCACCTAGGTCACTGACCTGACCTAGATCATGTGATCCACAGATGAAATAAATAATAATTGGACGGTGATAGCGAATCGAGATCTCAGGTCAGAGTCGCAGTCAGCTAGGAGCCTGAAGTCCATGGCCAGCTCGGTTTCGGAATCAGAATCAGATTCGAAGTCGGAGCCGGAGTCGAAAGAGCAATAGCACGACTACGAAACGCATGGAAGCAGGATGCGTCATCCGTGGACATGATAGCTTTCATAGAAAACGCCTGGTCGGTTGTTAGCTGACTTTATTTGATGAGCTTCTTTCCCATAACATGCAATAGCTTACATTTCGTTTTGTGATTTTCCCGTGCGTCTCTTGAGCACCATCCCTATGAAGGTCAGCATGACACAGGACGTTCCAGCAGTAACTGACTGTATTAACCGACAACAACGTCTGACAACGGTAATGGTAAGAAGGCACAACTTCACAAGTTCGCCAACAGATGGCGACATCTGTCACACTCCCCACGTTAAGTTTCCTCGTAACGTTTCCGACTGGGATCGATCACCAGGCGCGCCGGCGGACCGCACTGACGACGGGGACGGGAGTCGCTCCCATCCGGATCCCGGCGGTAAGCGCTCTCCGGGTCTTCGGATGTGGCGTCGCGGAGGCAGCCGTCGCCGTCGTCCACGTCGCCGTCGTCTACGTCGCTCTCCGTGCCGTCTGGAGCAGGTTCGGAGTGCCCGGACGACGCGTCGGACTCCAGCCGAGGGACCTCGTCGGGCTGGGCTGCGGGGCGTACCAGATCGTTGTAATGGCGGATTTTAATATCGGTTCCTTTGCCCGTACCAAAGAGTCGCGACACACGGTACGTCCACCCGCCTCTCAGTACCTCGACCACCTTATACAACTGTGAAAGGACCGGTGACATTTTCCCGCCCTTTCGACTCCGTTCCGCGTGGGTCAAACGTAATCGAACTGCATCGCCGACCTCGAATGGTTGTCCCCTCGCCCTTGCGACACTCTGCTGCACACGAGCGTTTTGTACATTGCGTACACTTACTTGCGTCTCACGGTGCAGCTCGTCTAGCAGCCGCCGCCGCTCAGCCACCTCACCGCTGTAGCCGCCGGCCGCCGGTAGGTGTCCCGGTTCACCGTCAGGGACACCCTCGCTGACGGCAGACTCGGGGCGACGAGCCGGCCTGGCGAACAGCAACTCGAACGGAGAGAACCCGGTGGCGGAGTTGACGGACGTGTTGTGACTGAACTGCAACTGAAATATTTTCTTGGGCCAGACCCGCACATCATTGCAACACACACAGCGCAAGTTAGCGATCAACTGATTCTGGCGCTCCACCTGCCCTTGACTCTGTGCGTGCTGTGGTGCACCCATGCGGTGGCGCACTCCGGTCCGACGACACATGGCACGGAACGTTTCTGCTGCGAAGTGTGGTCCTCTGTCCGACGTGATCACCAGAGGGACGTCGAACGTGCAGATCCACCGATCGTAGACGAGCCTGGCCGCCGTCTCGGCCGTGTTATCCTCGGCCGGCATCAGCATCAAGTAGCGGCTGAAGACGTCCTGGACCTGCAACACATACCGGAACGGGTGATCGTCTGAGCGAGGAAACGGCCCGGCAAAGTCCACCTGCAGGTGAGCGAGTGGTCTGTCGGGAATGTCGGTGTGTTGCATTGGCGCGCGCCCCGGGCTCTTGGGCAGCTTGTTTCTACCGCACACTTCACAGCTGGTGACATATAAATACAGGTCTTGCTTCATGTTAGGCCACCAGAAATTATCTCGAGCTCTCTGCCATGTCCGATCTCGACCCATGTGACCGCTGAGCGGCGCATCGTGAATTAAATGCAACGCTTCTGCCCTCAAGGACCTTGGGATCACCGGCAATAGTTTCCTCCCACCATTGAACGCGTAGCACAGCATGCCATCATGTCTGATTGCTAAACGACGGCGAAACCGACACAAAATACGGGCAGAGTCTGTGTACTTGCTTGGCAGCTTCTCGTCGCTGAGCAGAGCGACGCGAACTGGGGATATCTCCGGGTCCATCTGTTGTTCCGCTCGTATCCGGTCAGAGCTGAAGCCAGTCGACACCAGGTCCGGTCCCAGCTCTTGAGTCTCCGACTGGACCGATGCCACCAAACCAGCCGTTGCGCCGACTCTGGAGAGATAGTCTGCCATGGTCATGTCAGGGTGCTTCCCGGCCCTGTGCACAGGCCGAATCTGGAACTGTTGAAGGAAGTCAATCCAGCGCCCACGCCGGCCCCGTTCGTCGTACGGGTCCAACGAGTTAAGCCAACGGAGCGCTCTGTGGTCGGTGATAAGTTCAAACGGCGCGTTCGACAAATATACGCGAAACCGTTTCACGGCGAGCACCACCGCAAGCAGCTCTTTTTCCGTTGTACTGTAATTCCTCTCATGATTGGACAATGCATGATGAAAAAATCCGACTGGTTTCAGTTGGGCGCCGTCCTTGTTGGCCAGCATCGCTCCGGTGCCCACATCGCTCGCATCAGTCACCAAGGTGAAGGGCTTGCTAAAGTCGGGTATATACAACGCTACAGCATCGGACACCTGCTGCTTCAGCTTACCGAAGGCGGCCGTCATTTCGTCGGTCCAGAGCAACTTCTGCCTGCCGTCCCTGTCAAGAGCGTCGTACAGGGGGCGGGCCGTCTCAGCTAACCCTGGGATCCATCTCTGGACGTAAGCAAAGGATCCCAGAGCCCGACGCAGTTCATGTACGTCACGGGGAAGAGGCAGGTTTCTGAGCTGCTCAACTCGCGCTTCACTCATACTTATTCGCCCGTTACTGATGATCGCGCCCAGGTATTCTACAGTTTTCATGCCGAACTGACATTTTTGAAAAGACAGGGCTAGTCCAGCCTTGCGGACTTTCTCGAGGACCGAGCGTAGCCGTCTCTGGTGCTGCTCCCAGGTCTCTCCCCAAACCAACACATCATCCAAATAGCACAGGGCCTCTGTAAAGTTGGATTCTCCTAGAACAGCGGACATCATTCTCTGAAACGAGAATCCTGCCCCATGCAGACCGAAAGGCGTCCTCTCTGCCCACTCATACTGTCCCCAGGGGACCACGAACGCTGTCATCTCGCTCTCGGAAGGGTTTAACGGCAACTGATGGTACCCACATTTAGCGTCTAGAGCAGAAAAGAATTTGGCATTACCGAGTCTGTCCAGCAGGTCCTCCATCAGCGGTATCGGGTGCAGCGTTGATGCAGCCGAGACTGCGTTCACTCGGCGGTAGTCAATGGCCAAGCGAAGTCGACCGTCCTTCCGGCGTGCACATACCACCGGCGCGGCCCACGGGCTGTGGGACTGCCGGATGACGCCCATGGCTTCCAGCTGCTGCAGCTCCTTCCGCACTTCACCCTCCAGACGGGGTGATAGACGCCTGGGCCGAGACGCCACCGGACGAGTGCCAGGAGTGACGTTGATTCTGTGTTCAACACCAACATGGACGACCGGTAGCTCGCCACCTGCGTAGAAAACGTCACTGAACTCAGAGATCAGACGATTCATGTCCTCACGTTGTGCGTCTGATAAGTCTGCACCAATGTTCGCTCTCTGTCCAGCCCCCTTTCCGTTAGGATCATGATTCAACACTCCTTCCAACGTGAAGTCCGTGCTAGCAGTGGCCACCACCTCATTTCTCCTCAACACTTCCTCAGTTAAACTGACATTGGCCACCCTCACCCACAGCGTGTCATCAGTGGTAGGCCTTATCACACACGAGGCGGCGCAAACCGGTGAGTCCTCACCTCCTACTGACTCCAGCAGGTACTCCCCACCTGGCCGTAGACCGCCACGCTTCACCGGGACGAGTGCCTCGGTGGCCGGCGGCACGGTGACGTCACGTCGAAGCTTCAGGTCGACTCGCTGAGCAGAAGTCGTGTCCTGCGGTTGGGAAGCGCTGAGCAGCTCGAGCTCCACGCCCTTCTCCTCCAGCAGCAGCCGGCGTGCACGCAGATCCAGCTTCATACTGCCAAGGCGGGACCAGAAGTCAATGCCCAATATGGCGGGAACGACCAGCCCGCGCACAACAACAAACCGCTGGTCACGCACAATCAGTCCGCCCACTTTAACGGTGCGCCATACCTCACCGAGTACTGGGATATCCTCGCTGCTGACGCCCCGACCACGAACATTTGACGGCCTGATGGCCAGCCGCTCACGAGCCGTCAAGTTCTCATCTGCAACTAATGACCAATCAGCGCCCGTGTCTACCATGGCGCGGCCATTAACCCCATCACCCCATTCAACGGACACGTATGGGGCGCTTGTGAGAGCTCGGGATAAACAGTCGCGAGCGGACAGATCGGACATGGCTGGCATCGATGCGCTACAGCTGGCAAAAGAAAATTGTACGACAGGTTTGTGCCGCGACCAGCACCGCACATCCGTTGCTCCCGGTATGCTCGGTCCCTCCCCGGGTTTTGCGACTGGGGGACTGCTTAGTAAAAATCCTGCTGCTCACCTGGCTGCTCGTTGAACACGGCGGGCGCAGCTGCACTCTCCCGACGCGGTGACCAGTGCGGGTCCTCAGAGAGACGCTTACGGCACCGGTACCAGCCGCCCTGATGAGGAATGTTGCAGTAGTAGCACCGGCCCACTGACCGACCGACCCTCCCCGCCCCAGCGCGCGGGCCAGACTGCGGAGCCGGCGTCTGACCCGACCGCGCCGCGGGCGGTCCGGTCAGCTGACCGGGCGCCGACCCGAAGCGGCCCGCCCCCCTCTGCCAGCGAGCGGGAGGGGGAGGGGAAACGGCCGTCTGGGGCTGGGCGGCGAGACATGTCCCACCAACCTGATGGCGGTGACCCGTGAGAGCCGCCGCCTGCTTCGATGTTCTTGCGATCTCTGCGATTTTGAGAATGTCGTCATACTCCTTAGCATTTTCGTCATCCTTCATCCAGCGTTCACGAATGAGCCGTTCCCGTACATCTCTGTCGATTAGACCGTCCAAAAAACGCCAAACAACGCGTTTCCGTCTGATATCGGCCGACTCGCCGGCGAACGCATCCCCAGCTAGCCGCTGCAGCCGCGTAAGAAAATCAGCAAGGCTTTCCTCTTCCCCTTGTTTAGCTTCCTCAAATCTGATAATCCTTACCTCTATGGCTTCAGTCGTAACGTACCGTCTCTCCAGATGCTCAAGGATTTGCTCGTCGTTTTGAACCCATTTCGAATCTTGGGCGGCCTCCTCCCGTACGTATTCTGCTGGGGCCCCGGTGAGGCACAAACGCAGCTCAACACTCCGGTAGACCGCGTCCTGCCATACCGTCACTCCTCGTGCGATATTGGCCTGCTTCACCAGAAGAAAGTGGTCCTTGAAGCCTCTCCACGCTCCTGGCGACAGGTCGTCGCCGAAGACCCTGCTCAGCGCCACGGCGCGGTGCCCCTCTCCTGGCGTGGGCATGATCGGCGCTGCCACCAGTGACACAGGACGTTCCAGCAGTAACTGACTGTATTAACCGACAACAACGTCTGACAACGGTAATGGTAAGAAGGCACAACTTCACAAGTTCGCCAACAGATGGCGACATCTGTCACAAGCAGGTACGCTGAATTTCGCCTAGTTTTCTTGGTACGTTCTCATTACTTTGCAGCGGTTCCTGTTCTTTCCAAAGCCTGTTGCGAGTGATCACTAGCTGTGCCGTTACTGTTACCAGAGGCCAGTCATTTCCCAGAGGCGCCAAGGCCAGCCCCGATCAGCCCTGGCAACGTCGAGCTGCTTCCGCGAGGCAGCTTCGGCGGCGCCACTTTTTGTCACCTAACGGCATCTGTTTATAGAGCGCAAATCACCGCCTGTTTCTGAGGCATTGTGACCCTTGTCCGCCGCCGGTCGTGGAAAGCCAGCGAGCAAACATGTTGTGGCCCGCCGTATACGCGACCTACGGCAAGCCACGCACGCCCGTTCCCGGAAAATGGTGCAATCGAGGCGGTCGTGCAGCGGCGCTATTGGCACGAGCCGTGTCCGGCCCTGAACCTGCGCGGCACTGATCCTGTCATCTGCCAGTGGCAGGCGCCCGCGCACCGGGCACTGACACATGGCCAGTGACATTGCACGCGCACTGGCCGATCCGGAAGCTCAGCTTGAGATGAGACAGGCGTGATCCATGTGTCACATGAAACTGGTTAGTGACGTTTTTTTCAAATTAAAGTGGCTATCCCACATTTACATTAGTTTTGAGTTGAGATAGCCTAATTGGGGTCACTGGCTCGCAACTACCGGTTTGGGCACTCGCAACATCCATAAATGCTTTGCCTCGGAAATATTAAATTTCCAAGTCCGTGGCACTCGAATTCTCAGGGGCTAGTTCTTTTGAATGTCCCTTAGACTTTGTAACGTCAGCGCAGATTTAACGTTTTTGAAGCATTTTGCTGAAACCTTGGTTAAAGGCAGCAATGTACAGCATAGACTAAATGAAACACATGCATAGACAACAGTGTCATCGGGATTCCAAACTATTGCTTCAAAATCCACGTAAAGGAAAGCCCTGATGACGTAACAGGAGCAACACAGGCCAAAATATCAAATTCTTCTATCTCAAGAACTGGTGGATATTTTTTGGTTTAATTTGGGGTCCTGGATTTCCACCCACCCCCCGCGCGCGGGGGGGGGGGGCGTGAACACCCCTTCTAACTCGGCTCCTGGGCCACGTGGCGATATGGGGAAGGCGATGTTCGAAAGAGCGTCAAAAATGATGACGAAATTACTTCGGTCATTTTTTGGTCAGGTCAAAGGTCAGGTCGCCAGAGGTCATTGAAGGCCATATATCGCCGATTTTCAGGTCGAATGTCGACAATTTTTAACAAGCGAACGGCTCACTTGGAAACTAATAGAGCTACAGCGCCTCGGAAATGCACATTTGAAAGCCCTATTAAGCATTAACGCTCTTTCTAAATAATTCAATTCCCTCAGATATGACCTATCGTCAACGATTTTGCATGCAATGGGGCAAAAATTGCCAAAAAGACGATTTTTCGGAAACAGTTTTTCTGCAGTAACTTTTGTCTCAAACCATGCACTAGCTATTTTACTGGCATTCCTCGTGTCACTCGTCAAGACGCATCGAATAAACAATAATTTGACCTTGAAAGGTCAGCTCGAAAATTTGACCTCACGTCAAGGTCATGACCTGACCAGAAAAGGTCATATTGCATATCAGTCCATCCGTAACACATCTAAGGCGTTTCGTCGCTCTAGTGTGCCTCTATCAAAAGTCATTCGCGAAAAAAACTGTTAAATGCTATTGGTGGCCTAAGATGATCTCCAGGGGCATAAATAGGGGTCAGGGTGCCAGTGTCATATTTAGTGTGTCATGGGTACTCCTAATTCAGTATTTGAGAGTGTTTAGAATGGCATTTATCCAAAAGAGCCGCTTTTCAATTTTCTCCCATTGACTTATAATGGGGAGGTCGCAAAATTGACGTCACCGATATCAAAATTCCGAGATAAACATTTTGATACTGTTGCTCTTAGCAATCGCTGGAAGTTGCAAAGCAATCGGTCACACGGTGTAGCTATTGCAGACATTGCAACTTTGTATGTGGTAAGGTCACTTGACCTGACCTGGCGACCTGACATTTTGTGACCTTGGTCTGAATTTTTTGACAACATATGCAGAGAGGATGCATGATAAAGTGTGCCGTTTTTGAGATATTTGCGAAAAACCACAGGGAAGGGGGATGTTCAAACACCTCCTCCCCCAGCAGGGCGCGAATTGTGGGTTGAAACAATTCATTGACTTTTTCAAGGTGGGATAATCAATTAAGTTAGGTACCTCTGGGAGTTCACATGCGCCACCAACAGCACTTAACAGCAAAGGAGATAATTGCCTTACAAGTAATCGCATTTGCCGCAAACAGCTTCACCTTGTAGGCATAACATTGAGAGTAAATACATACCCAAGATAAAGAACAAGCAAAATTGTTTGCTAGTCTAAACTTGTTGACGATTTCGCGATTCCTAGAAGCAGCTGGCATATGTTTAGATGGTAGCGCAGGCCAACATCGCACAAGTGGTGCCTCTGGCTAATGCCCAACGATTCATTCTTTATTTCTGCCGTCAGCCTTCTGTATTTCCCAGGAATGTAAAAAACTTCCTTATTTAGCAAAATAGTCTTTTTCGCTGGAAATTTATCAATAACGCACAAGAAAAGTTTACTTTTCGTGAGAAAGACTAGTGAATCACTTTTGAGATTTACATCTAAGAATAGTCACCCCTGCTCAGCCCTGCTATGCCCTGGGTGCTTTTCTTAGAATGCTGGACCGTTTGCAGGCGTCACAGGGCAAGATGGACACTGAAACACAGTCGTTTATCCACGGTGATGCTTTGTTGGTGACACTAGATGGACGGCTCAGAACAGGACTGAGACACCAGCGGCCGATGACACAAGCGTTTTTAGCCAGTGCCCCAAGTACACTTTAAGTGTTCACATATTTGGTACGTTTTTTTTCTCACTGATGTATCAATTACATGAATCATAGCACTGAAAGGCAATATTAGCATGCGGAGTGTCCCTTGAAGTATCGACCCATTGCTGACTACACACCATGGCCAAGGTAGGTATACCACCGCTCAACCAGCTCTTCGAGAGCATAGTTTTAGACCCTGGATCACCGGTCAGGCGATCCCCTCAGCAGTGCGGACTGCGGATGACGCCCTCTGACTCTATGCATGCATGCATATTGTATGGTATGCAGACATCAGAGCTGCGTGGATCTCCATAGCCTACACTACTGGTACCGAAGAGCCTAGTCACCTCTATTTTCTTTCCCTGGGCCGTGTAGATCTTGGAGCTTGTCTCCGAGGGCGGGGAGTCAGTTGACAGCTAATTGACACCCCCAGTCTCCGTAGACCTCTGTGCCCCATGGCGCCCCTCTATCTCCAGGTGTCAGGGTGAGGGGGGAGGGAGGGGTGTTAGAGGACACAGCTGCCCGCCGACTCGCCCCCCATCACCCGGGGTGTGCTCAATGCTCATCCAGTCTCCGGGGGCCCGAGGGGCCCGCTGACGCGCCCCGCGCCGCCGGGCGGCGACTGTGACCCATTTCCAGTGCTCTGACCTACTGGCCGTGGCCGGGCGCGCCGCCCTTGACCCGCTGACCGGCGCGCGGCACGCCTGTTATGACTGACGACGGTGCACGTCACTGTCGTGACATGAGAGCTGTTTATTCATCACTGGAGGGCCGGGAGCCTGCAGACGCCTGCGCCGGGGGCTTGATGAGACGGGACCTCCGACACCAGAGCTCATGATCTCAGCAGTGCGATGAAGCAATATGGGTGATGAACGTATGGGTGCGGCACTTTAAAGTGTGTTCGAGACTTTATCCAGAGCGTGAATGATTGTCCGTCTCAATATTTACACCGATTGGCAGTTTCGTAAGACAGGAGACAAGTGTACGGTGGAGGAATTTACATCGTTTTTAAATGTCGCTAATCTAGGTCGTCGTCGGGCAGGCGCTAATGCGATTCATGAAATGCGAACATTGGGATGATTTGTAAACAACTGCCCGATCAAACAGCTTATCCGTGTTTAAAAGTCACGCCTTGGTTCCATGAAGGGCCATTGCGAACACACTGATCTACATCCTGAAACAACTTACATAAGCATGTATTGGTATTACCCAATGTGTATGGATAAAAGTTGGCCATGGAGGGTCTGCACGATAAGATTTGCATATCATTTTTTGTCC